TCTTTCCCCAAACAATTTTATGCAAAGCATAGCAGCTCCATAAGAACCTGGAAACCCAATTTTAGCCATTCTAAATCATTACTGATAAAATTAGTACAGTGCAATGTAGTGGCAACTAGGAAACCCCGTGTTTGGCCACGTTGTCTGTGGAGGTCGAAGGTAGCAAGGAGTGGGGAGAGCACAATATCTGCCCCCTTTTGAGTAAGGATAGGCAAACAGCAAACACGTTTTAAAAATAAAAGTGATTGTCCCTCATCTTATGCAACAACCACCAACTGCAAAACCTTGTCAAATCTCTGCTGTGTTAGAGACTGCTGTAACACAAAAGTATCGCTGTTACGATCACACGTTCCCTGCTTCTCCGATATGTCCCCTCTCATGACAGGGAGATGGAGAAGGCATATAGCACAGAAATGGTGAGGTTAACCTCAAGTTAAAACGTAACTGCAACAAGCCCCATTACTCTGTGTTTCTCTAGTTATGTAGTAACAAGTTCTCTCAGAGTCTGGTGAAAAGCTGGTGAGAAAGCAAGGACTCTAGCACATGCAGTTACCAGACAGCAGCTGAGAGTCCGTTGTGGCAAGAGCCTTTGCAACCATTCTCAACATGATGGCAAGTCTGATCCCTAAGCTGCTGCCCAGTTCACCAGTCTCAACACGGCTCCGATGGGACTAAAGGTAGGAGACTGAACAAGCTTATTCTGGCTTGCAGCCCTCATAATGCCACAGCCACCAAGAGGCACTTGAGACACCCTGCTGTCTTTTCTGGACCCTGAGCCACATCTGCGGCAGCTTCTGGCAACATGGACCATCTGAACCCTCCTCAGCCCTTTCCACACACAGGAGAGGTCCTTGGTGGTGTCATGTCCTGCTAGCTTTACATAATTCAGTGAGATTGTGGTGGTTCTGCTGGGCTACCTTTATGGCACAAGACCAATAGCATCATACAGGTGGCTGAAGCGAGTCAAAACCTGTAGACAAATACCCCATGTATGCTGACATGCAGTCACCAAATGGTAGCCACCGCAGCAACAATCTTCCAAGCAGAGCAACACCCAGACTGTGAGGTAAGTTGTTTCATAAAGGAAATAGTAGTTTTATGAAAGGGAGAAGCTTCTCAAAATATACCTCTGGACCATCCTGCTTCGTGGGTGGCTTTGCCTCTCCTCTCCATCTAGAGGGTAACAGTGGGCTCTGTGGGCAGCACAACTGCTCAGTCTTCACAGCCCTGTGTCATGTATCTGCCTTGACTCATCTGCCCCCATCCTATGCTATGAAAAACTGCTGGCAGAGCGTGAAAGGGCAGCCCTTTGTCTCACAGCTTAAGTGATGGGAATCACCTTGGACGGAAACAGGGCCCACTCATTGTTTTCCTTGAGGAGAGTCCCAGGAGGAAAAAGGTCTCACCCCCAGATTTCAAATGTTGTCATTTGTGCCAGCTAACACCACGCTGAGCAACATTTCTGTGACTACTTCTCCATGTATGCTATGCTATCAGAGGAAGCCTTAGCTCTTCTAAGAGCCAACTGGGGCAAGGAAATGCATCAGCAAAAGTCAAAATCCAGCGCACACATGAAAAGCAGCAAAGGCAAAGCAGCGGCCTACTATTGTGTGTAAAAGGTACCAAGCCGTGCCCTGGCGTACAGAGACTCGTTGCCAGAGGAGAACTCGGCCACATGCAGCGACCGCCCAGAAAGGAGGAGTACAAACAGAGCAACAGGCTGGCTGCAAGGAACAAAGTCCTGGCTGCTCCCCTGGAAACGTGCTGAACCAGAGAGCTGCATTTCACGTTACTGTGTTTGACCAATACCAATCAGCATCTCAATTAAGACCAAACTAAACCATAATATACACAACAAAAGAGTCACTTAATTGTTCAGCTACATTAATACTAAGGGATTGATCTTCACTTGGTTTGATCAAAGGAAGAGAATATAGAGCACAAACTCATGGGTGGAGGAGATGAGGAACAGGTGACCAGATACACTTTCCTTGCTCTTTTTTCCTCCAAATGAAGGACACTCTTCCCTTCCAAGTGAAAGCGAATCAGGGGACAATGAAACATCGAATTCTAGTAGAAGACAAGCACGCTGGAACAACAGTTACACCAACACTCCTACCTTCTTGAGAAAATGATCTGACTGTGGGGCTGCTCTGACCATCCTTTTCTTTATCAGAAGGAACTTTCTTCAGCACAGGTGGAAGCAGGGCAACTTTTGGGGAACTGGGGCCGGAGGGAGACTCTGGAGCATCCTCTGTGGAGTACCATGAACAAAAGGGTGAGAAGATACATTTGTGCTGTAGTTCACAGAAATAGTGCTGTTATGATGGGCCAAATCTCAACGCAATACATACACAAGAAGCAGCTAGAATCTGTGTCAGAAAAAGGAGGATTCAGGAATTCACATTATGTCAAGAGAATGCATGATGGCCCTCAGTCCAGGTGAAAGAGTTTTAATAGCCAAAGCAAAGATCTCAATTTCAGCATTTTTAATGTGTACTGCTATAGCAGCACAAATAGAAATCTGATGGGACCAACTGAATTTCCTGCAAGACATAAGTATGCAATTTGCAAAGAACAGCTGAAAATTATTTTGTATGGATTGCTGGAAATATTTGTTCTATTTATATTTTTATTGTCCTGAAACATAATGAACTGATCAATTTAGAAGTCCTGTTTCACAGTTATAAGGCATAAAAGTGAACCAGGGAAACAAATTTCATAAATAGCCTACAGAACTCTGTACTTCCAGGAACAAACTGCCAGTACATAACATGACAGCACCTGCAAAGATTTTCTAAATAGAAAAAATACATCGTCTCCTAGACTGTGAGGAAATCTGGAACTTAAATTCAAATCCATGGTTTAAACCATCTGGATATCTTGTTTCTCTAAAAGGCTGAGTAAGTGTTATGCATGGCAAGTTGACTACTATCTTTACAGTCCTTATGGGAGGACCTTTTCAGTCTTACACTAGACAGACTTCATTCGGACAGTAGGGAAGCAGAGCTACAACGGATTACTCAAACAGCTTGTTTGTCTGCTTCCCTAGGATTAAACAGTGGCATATGTACACAACAGAGGAACTAGGAAGATACATTAGTATTGATAGAAGGAAAAAGGAACTCAGAGTATCGCCTGTATTGCGTATTTGTACAATGAGTTAATTCAGTTGCATACTGGAAATTAATAGGAATTTATCTCACTGTTGAGGAGCCACCACAAAGGAGTCAATCATTTCACTTTCAGCACAGGAAAGTGATGACCTTCCAAATGCAACTCGATCTGAACAGATACACCACTTCTTGGACCTTCTCCATGCTTTCGATGTGCCTGTGAGGCCAGCTGCTTTGGGAAGCTCAGTATCAACATAAGGATGAGCACAGTGCTTGGCAAACACAGCTATATATTTCTGAACTAAAGCTGTTATGTGCTTTATTGAGGATCCACTTTCAGTCTTTGATAATTTGTAGACATTTGAGCTGTGTTCCTTTGCCCTCAGATTACTTAGCAAAAATTTGCTACCATTAGTTTGGCCACACTGCTGGAAACAACAACAGGAGCCAGAGCATAAATAGGATTATTGCTTGGCTTCTTCATCACGTCTCCTGGGCGTGCTTAGCCAGCAGATGCTACAGGTACTAAGATAGAAGTTAGATTGCCACAGAGATGGTGTTGCTTTTACTGCCACCCAAGGAACTGGCCCATTAAGAGTAACTATTAACTACTCTCCATGTTAAACCCACAGTATGCTCTCTCTGCCTGAAATAGGAGCTGGCAGAAACAGACAGCTCAGGTCTTTCTGATACCTAAGATTTTGAGATAACACACTATTTTACAGATAAAGCATCACCAAATAAGCCACGCTCTCCTATTGTATTCATTTTTGTGATCACCTTACCCGACACCTCTCACTTTTATGACCATTTCTAAAATGGTCAATAAAATAAATTTAAAGCCTGAAGGTGATTTTGTACTTGAACAACATTCTACCCACTGGAGTGCAGAGACTACATAATGTTCAGGTACACATCAAGGGCAGGGAAGAGGCTATAATATCACTCTGCCCCCTCATCCTAACCAGAAATGACACCTTTCTAAGGTCAACATGTGAATATGGGAAAAGCCTAGAGGTCTGAGAGCTCTTGCAGATGGCTACGCTCACATTTTTCAGTCATTAGCAATTAATAAGCACTATTTGCCACAGCTACAGGGGAGTCAGTAACTAGCATTTAACTCCTCTCAACTGCAGCAGCCCTACTTTGGGAAGAGGTTGTGACATTGGCCTATTAAATAGCAGACAGACAAATGTATGGGAGATCTGCTGAAATATTTCACACTATTGGAAATCTTGAGATGACATCTGGGCAGGAGGTTAGGACAGAGCAGAAGTTAATAGTTATTCCACTGGCAGTCTTGCAGGGTTATAAAAGCACAGTTACGATTATTTCCAGTCAAAAGCAACAAGGAAAGAAACAAAGGCAAAACAAGGAAAAAGAGTGAGAGACAATCGGTTTGCACAAGTTATTAATAATAAGAGGCCTTTACTCGAGGGTCCAAGAGCAGCCTGCCAGAAAAGCCCAAGGACTTTAGTATTTACAGCCAGGTGTTTAGAGAAAATACAGTTATTTTTGTCGGTGCTACTAAACCAGGGCTTTGATGCTGAAGTAGTTCGCTCTGCTCTCCTCTTCTATGAAAGCAGGCTAACTCAAAACAGCTCTGCCACTGCCGCTATTGCTTCTCCTCAGACTTTACCATTGTGGATCACAGATTAAACCACTTTAATAAGTGTATTTGAATTAGGGCAAAGGGAGGTAGAAAAGAAGGATGCAAGTCAAGAGCAAGTGAATGAAGAAGCTGTCCCTCTACATTTGACTTTTGTTCAGGATGCGGCCCACACAAATGCCACTCAGAAATACCCAGCTAGGAGTAACGAATACTTAGAAGATCTCCTCACCAGTACGAGAGGCAGAGCGTGGTTTCTGTGGCACCGTGGGTCGTCCTGTCAGGCTGGGCTTTGCTGACTGCAGTGGAGGTTTTGGGCTGGTCGGTGTATTGGAAGAACTTCTTGCCTTTGTGCCAGCTTCTGCCTTTGGTTCAGCTTTTGAATTTTTTTCTGAAGCTGCTGAGATGGACTCACCTTTATTCAAGGCAAACCGACTCTCTGGAAGGGTCTGCTGGAGCTTAGGCGCTAAAATAAAGAGACACATAAAATAAAGTCTCCTGCAACACAGAATGCTCCATGCACAAGATACGCTTGTGTGGAAAATATCATCATTAGCTTCCATATCACTGCTGCACTGCTTTGTGAGTATGTAAGAGGACCCTTAACATTGTGCCCTGGCAGCCAAGATGGCAGACTGCATCCTGGGGTGCATCAAACACAGCATAACCAGCCTGTCAAAGGAGGTGATTATCCCGCTGTATTCAGCGTTGGTGTGGCCTCACCTTGGGTGCTGTGTGCAGTTCTGGGCCCCACAATATAAGAAGGCTGTGAAGGTCCTTGAATGAGTCCACAGGAGGGCAACAAAGCTGGTGAAAGTGCTGGAAGGAATGCCCTGTGAGGAGCAGCTGAGGGCTCTGGGTTTGTCTAGTTTGGAGAAGAGGAAGCTGAGGGGCGACCTCATGGCTCTCTGCAGCTTCCTGAGGAGGGGAAGTGGAGAGGGAGGTGCTGAGCTCTTCTCCCTGGGATCCAGTGACAGGACACCTGGGAATGGCTCAAAGCTCAGGGGAGGTTCAGACTGGACATGAGGAAGCATTTCTTTACTGAGAGGGTGGTCAAACACTGGAACAGGCTTCCTAGAGAGGTGGTCGATGCCCCAGGCCTGTCAGGGTTTAGGAGTTGTTTGCACAATGCCCTTAACAGCAGGCTCTACCTTTGGGTCAGCCCTGAATTCATCAGGCAGTTGGACTAGATGATCATTGTAGGTCCCTTCCAACTGAAATAGTCTAGTCTATTTCATTCAAAATCACTGCAAGAAAAACATCTAAACCCACTAGTTTTTACACATGCTAAGCTTCATAATTCAAGTGTCTCAGAGGTGATGGTATGTCCCCCTTTTTAATACATTTGGGGTGATGGCTGGCTGGACCTTATTCTCCCTTCATATTTCTGGGAGCAGATGGTACAGCCTACCTGCTGAGAAAGCAGCGATGGATCCATGGAAAAGGCAGCCTTTGGCCCTTTTGTGCCTCCACTGACAAAAGGCTGGCTATCCAAGATCAACAGAGAAATCCTGGCGCAGAAAGTAAATCTCAAAGTGTGATCAGCAGGCTACATCTTGTTATTTGTTGCTTTTAGCAAGCTCTAGAGGAGATTTCGAAACTTAGTCGCGATCAAAGTATTCTTTATATAATATTTTATCTAATGTCACTGTATATGGATTATGGTTTTCACACATTAGCAAGTTTATCAACATATTATTTATCCCAAACAAAGACCACAGTATTTACAGATAAAACTATACTGACTTCAAAGCAATAAATCAGTCATATGTAACTCTGGAAGTCGGTAGAAACCTGCTGGACACCTGCTGGTTCCTTCTTTGCAGCTTTGAGATGCTTGAGGGCTTTCACGAAGCAGATATAATCTGGGAACTTGTATGCCAGCTTGGGACTTTACACAACTGTCACATCTTCATTCTCAGAAGAGAATTACAGACTAACTGAAATGCAGACTGGTGGCCTTGGTACCTGGCAAAACCAAGCATGTGCTCACAGATGCTGACTTGACCTACCTACCTGCTATCTCCATTCAGAAATCCTACTTGTTACAAAAGTGCTGAGCACAGACATTTTAATGGCAGTGGGAGGGTGGGGAGTGTTGATATAGTTTGTTGCGAGCCAATCTCCAATACCTTTTTCCAGCTTATGTAGCTGTTTTTCAGCTCAGCTGGAGTTAAACTCTGGCAAACCACAGAGAGTTGTGTGGCGCATATGTATCTCTGTGACTGCATGACAGTGAGAATTCATGTCTGTATGCATGCAGTAGACCTTCATGCTGCAAGAGAAACAGCAGGACACCTGTAAAAAAGCAGGCAATATCCAGACATGAAGCAAGGAATAAAAAACCCCTATTCTCCTTCAGCATCACTATCTATAGTTTTCCTGTAGCAACATCCAGCAATTTTCCATTAACTGTCTGTCTTGCCTTCCTAACCTCAGGCTTGCTAATATTATTAGAACCCACTAAGTTAAAATAAATTAACCCAAAACAAAGACAAACTGTAGCTGCAACATGAAGAGCAGCCTCAGTGAGCTCTCAAGCAAGAGTGGTGATGAACGCACTGACAGTTGGAGGCCAGAAGGAAGGGGGATGCACAGCGAGGTGGGGGTGAAATGTCTCTATATATAGAGACAAGGACCAGAGAAAAATTGGGGTCAGACACCCCCAGCTACTCTAAAGCCCCAAGCACAGACTATTCTTGCTCCTCTGATTTCAGTCGGACGACTTTGTACACAATGGGGAGGCATTTTGTGCATGCACGGAGTGTCCAGGGGCCTCCACAGCTCTGCAAACAGCCCTGGCTTCGGTTAAGTCAGCTAAACCCTGGGAAGAGCCAGCTGCCATTGCCTGTGAGATGTCTGTTCCAACAGCTGAAAGCCAGGACTACTCAAGCTGGTACCTGCACTGGCTACTACAAACCTTGCAAATTAGTCACGTTTAGGTCATCGGGTGTATTCAGGAGTTTCACTTCTTTGCATGCAGACATTTTTGCTGGCTCCTGGGTTCAGCTTCAGCTTTGCTGATCCCATTACAAGTCAGCACCCTTTCAAAGGCACCCAAGACACACGCACAGAGTAGCTTCCCTCCTGTGCAATGTGGAGCACAAGAGTAAAAGCTGAGACATCAACCGAGCCCTAGAGCTGACCTCTTGAAAAATGCTGTCAAATGCAGTACAAGAAGTGAGCTTGTTTCTAATCCTTTCCACTAAGCATAAGCTCATATTTTGCTTAAGCAACTGTACACACACAATCTGGAGAGGGGAGTGAGATTTTGAGGTTAGGCATTTTGCATTTTCTAGAAAGAGTTTATGCCAGGAAAACCAAAACGTACCTGTACCGCTTCCATCCAGTCGTTCTGAGCTCATTGCCATGTCAAAAGACTCTCTGGGAGTTGTGTCATTCCCAAGTTTCTGAAAGAGTGAGAAAAGCTCTCATATTAATAATATATCTGTAATTAATACAACTCAGTGGTTCTGTTAGAAAAAAAGCTCTAACTTAGAAGCCATAAAGCAGAGAAAGCAGTGATGGTAATAAACAGTGGATTCTCTCTCCTTGTTTCTCTTTCAGATCTTGGAGATCTAAGTAGGAAAAAACCAATAACTAATACTGCCACATGTCTAGCACAGCTGCAATAACACCCTGCCTCCTAAAAGCAACAGGTCTGCTAATGTACAGGAGTTGAAACTAAAGGTGCTAGGTGGAAACAGTCTTTGCTTTAAAGATAGCTCCATATTTTAAAATTCCTTGTTTAGGTTTAAAATAAAGTGTCTTTTTCTGAAGATCTAGATTTTGAATGTTAAGACTGCTGAATAGATCCTATGCTCTTCCACATACAAGAATAATTTTTTTATTTTAGATAAACTTACAACTACAGTCGCAGCAGTGCTCACATATTTACAGGACTTTGTTAAAAAACAAATAGATCTTACTTCTTGAAAGGTGTTTAAAGCTCCCCATCACAAGGGCTGCTGGATGCTCAGCACCTCTAAAGAAAGGGGGCTGCTTGTTTACGTGCTGATATTTTACCAAGTCTTCTATTCTTAAGACTAGCTTTCCTAACAGCCTGACCTCAAAAAAACCCAAAAAGGTGCAAAGACTTTTGTTGTATCGTGGATCTAGCTTAAGTGAGCTTGAAACCTGTGTATTCACCAGAAGTTTGGATACGCAGCCAATGTACTTGTAAGAGAACCAGCCTCCTTTTACTGTCTTACCTGCTACCAAAGCTTAAGCTGAAGGATAAATGGGAGGATACAAAAAGTGCACAGAAATAAGTGCAGGATATACTACGACAGAAAGGCTTAAAAAGATCACACTAGGCAAAAAAAAAAAAGAGAGATTTTTTGGAAACTAAAAAAGTGAGGATAGACTTTTGCAGACAGATTCAATCTTGATCTTGATTTGCTACTTCAAGACAGTTAGTGTGGTAAATGTCTTAAAGCAAATGCCCCTCTACTCCGCTCTTGTGAGACCCCACCTGGAGTATTGCGTCCAGCTCTGGGGGCCCCAGTACAGGAGAGACATGGAGCTGTTGGAGAGAGTCCAGAGGAGGGCCATGAAGATGATCGGAGGGCTGGAGCACCTCTCCTATGAGGACAGGCGGAGAGAGTTGGGGTTGTTCAGCCTGGAGAAGAGAAGGCTCCAGGGAGACCTTAGAGCAGCCTTCCAGTACCTGAAGGGGCCTACAGGAAAGCTGGTGAGGGACTGTTTATCAGGGGGTGTAGTGACAGGACAAGGGGTAGTGGGTTTAAGCTGAAGGAGGGTCGATTTAGATTAGATGTTAGAAAGAAATTCTTTACTTTGAGGGTGGTGAGGCACTGGAACAGGTTGCCCAGAGAGGTTGTGGAGGCCCCATCCCTGGAAGGGTTTAAGACCAGGTTGGATGGGGCTTTGGGCAACCTGGTCTAGTGGAGGGTGTCCCTGCCCATGGCAGCAGGGGGGTTGGAACTAGATGATCTTTAAGGTCCCTGCCAACCCAAACCATTCTATGGTTCTATGATTTATGCTGATGATTGCATTTGGTTATATACTCACGCATAAGTCATGTTGACATGCCCAGGACACTGCTACTACTGCTCTAACATCAATTCTGCATGACTCGCGCTGGGATATGATTGTCCCACAGTGTTCAGAAACCTCCACCACGTGCCACGCAGTGTACATCAAATATGACCACTGCCCTTTGGAGCTTACAATCTAAGACTCCTAGGTATAGCACGTAGATAAGAATTGGACAACAGGAAATGTAGGAAGGAAGAGAAAGGCTACAAGTAGCAGGAGTACATAATAATTATAGAAAATTTGACAGATTTAGAGTGAAAATAGTATTTTAAATATAAACATAAAGGAATGATCTCTAAATATCCAGGTGTCTTTCCCCTGCAGTGGTAATTCAACACAGACATTTCAGGAGAAGCAGATTTTGGGGAGCAAGACAGAAAACAGTGTGGTTGGCCTTACAGATTTACCTATACCTCCATTTTGCTGATGTAATCTCACAGCTCCTAAAACAAAGCCTCTCTTTAATATAACAAAGAAAAGGATGGAGATGCTGAGTGCCTGCCATTCTTGTATATGACCTGCCAGGGTAACGCTTCCTCCTGACCTCTCCCCTAAGTATAAGTGTGCACAAGGATGCTACTAGAATCATCACTAAACTTTCTGTACTGTAAAACTACCTTGAAACAGATATAACTATCCACTCTAAGGGATTATATTTCTACAGGTTTTAAGTATAAAATCATCTGTATGTTAAAAACCACATGTCAGCCAAACAATGAAGTCTTCTGGTCAGAAGCACTCTAGAAATGCCATGACTTGTAGGGCCAGAATGGTAAACTACATTACTACATTTGACCATTACTAATGGTCAAAACATAGTCCTCTCCAAAGGAACATTATGCTTTGTACTACTGGGTGAAAACTCAGTTTTTATTCCCATTTCTTAACTGTCATTGATATCTTGGCTAAATTCTCACCTCTCAGCCTCCTAAAGCCACGTGTTTCTTTGTAAGACTGTCTTGGCTATGTATTTTTGAAGGGAATACCAGTCTCCTGTTACTGGATTTTTCTTCCATACCTCAGAAAAAAAACTTTTAAGAACTGAATTTATCAACAGTTTCTTCATGGAATGTGAATTCTCATGAACTTTCATCGAAATACACATTTTCCTATGTAAATATTGAAGATATATGCATAACACTTAACTACAGTAAATGACTTTTGAGCTGTATGACAATATGAAAACTAATTTCACTATTACTCCTTCCTCCCTCCCTAGTTATGGCACTACTGGGGAGATATGACCATGTACAGAGACAAGTACAAAAGCCAGTGCTGGCATCTATTAGGGTAGTACTTAAAAACGCAATTAGGATGTTCACGTGTTTGGCTACCTACTGTACACACATTGCAAACTGCTTACAGTCCCGAGACAACAGTAAACACTTGTTGCAAAAATGTACTCTGAGAAGGTGTCAATCATGTCAGATAAATGCAGGTGATTTTATCTTGCAGATAAATCACTACTAGGCTCTACTTTTAATAGGAATTCATGCAAGGTTGAGAAATACTGCAGAGTCAGGTGCTACTGAGAGTAAATAACAGGTTACAGATGATCTCAGTCTACTCATAGGTCTTGCTCAAGGTATTTAAAAATTCAGTCTGTAAACACTAGATGGAGCTAAAAGATCTTTTTATGTATGCCTAGAGGCAACACTAATCTGCAAATACTAGTCTCTATGGTTAATGCCAATTCGCAAGTTGTATTCTAAGCAAAAGAAAACAAAAAAGCATTTACCATCTTTCCATCTACTGTGCACCTGCTCATCACTTGTATCTGTTACAAGACTGCGGTAGGTTATGAACAAAATAGTAAACTCCTTCTGGTTTTGTTTTCATGTAAAATAGCTCAGAATATAAGCAGCCATCTGTACCTTACAGGAAAATACAATTTTCTATCATACTGGAATTCTGATAAATTTCAAGATGCAGGGAAGTTGATGTCATCCCCATCCAAAACAACGTAACAGCAGTAGGCTGCTGTCTTCTGTAGCTCAACCACCAGGATACTGCATGACTTTCACCTTCATGAATATCAGGCATAAAGGTGCAAAGCTAAATTATTCGCTATTGCGATCGAGTATGTGAAAAATTCTTTTGAACAGCAGTTCAATTTTTTGTGGTCTGGGTAACATTAAGAATGGATAACTCAGTGCCCTGCTGTGTACAGATTCCTATTTCAATTCAGTTTTCTTGTCACTCTTTAAAAAAAACCCAAATAAACCAACTACTTTTGCATTCTATAAATATAATTTTTTACAAAATTCAACAAAAAAATAAGATCAATAACACTATTTTCTTGAAAACTAAACCTGAAAGAAGGGTAACCTTTCCAACCAGTAAAAAAGCGAAGGGTGGAAAAAAAAAAATTACTAGTAAAAGGCAACACTTTTCTTTTTGATAGATAAAATTTAAGTTTTCATGTTACAAAAGCTCATCAATCAAAGACAACTTTTACTCTCCCCACTTAAAAAAAAATGACAGCCACATCATTCCAGATCTGACCAACTTGAAATGACAAGTGTTAAGAACCGGAAGAGGGCCAAGCACACACAATTTATGCAGCTGTAAAAATGTGTATAATCTGGACTATCTGGGTATTTTGTTAGTTACAGACAGAGCATAACACTTATTTAAAATCATATGACATTTTACTTGAAAACTTGGGTGTTTTAGAAATCAGTGAGACTATTCACGTGCACTGCTCAGCACCAATGAGAAAGGTGGGAATTGGTCATTTCTCCAGAAAAATTATTTTTATGCTGAGGATCCCTTTAATGAGCCATTGACTACTGTGTTAATTTGAATCTGCTTATTCTAAGACGCCAGCATCTGCAGGAATGGTTCAGACATCATGGCAAGCACTATGAAGAAAGGTAATAACGAACTTTGGGTGCATTGCTCGGTCACAGCAAGACAATCCTGCAACGTGTTAAAGGAAGGAAAACACAGCAAAGCTTGCAGGTGAGCTTTGTCATAAGGTAACACCTTCCAAATTACAGGGGATAATGGTGGGGAATGGACAGCACCTGAGTGCTCTGCACATTGAAAAGAGGAGCGAAAAAAGGCTGATCCTTTGGTAATTTTAGAACATGCCAACTGCAGCAGGGAGGAAGGAGGGGATGATAATGGAGAAGTTCAGTGAGAAACAGGCATCAGACAAACAGGTTGGCACAAAATGTTTTGGAGCAATACAAGGATATTCCACTCCACACATTTGCAAAGTGAAGCAGAGCTCCTGCCCAGCAGCAGCACTTCAGAGAGGAGAAAATTAGAGAGAGCGAAGGGAATCCAGACAGGTAATCAGGAATAGATTAATTTAATTTTTTTAACATATGCCTATTTTCTTTGAGTGTTAGTATTTAAAACACAGAAATCAAAGGCATAAAAATAATTATGCATGGTACAAAAGGACATAAATATAAAGTGCGACAAGAAAAGTATAAGCTGAATAGCTGTTAACAGCGTCTGGAAGCCAAATTTACTTCTCTGGATATAATTTAAAATACAGTACATCTCTCCTCCTTTCTACATCACCTTCCAAAACAGAAGAGTACAGATAGCTACTACTGTAGTTAACTCTGCCAAACACCTGAGGCACTGGTGTGCAGGGGGCACACAGTAAAAAGTCTGTCCTAGCTTTACCTTTTGTAAAGCACACTTCATTACGCATGAACAAACCATGCATGGTAGAGTGGAGACACTCAAACTGTGCTTACTAATTGCCCCCAAATTACTCTGTAATACATGCAAACAATTACGCATCCTCTTCTGTACTTGTGATGGCCTGACATCAAGCGCAAGAGCTGGTGTCACCTCCTTCACAAGAGGAGAGAAAGTGCAGTCTTAAGAGTGCATTTCCTGCTCCACATGTGCAGCCTAGTCCTTGGCCAGGGTATTCATGTTCAACCACCACAGCAGAGAGAGCAATCCACTTGCAGCAACACCATAATCCCTATGGAAAGCTGAACTGATGTGTTAAGCCCCAGCCACCAACCCTTGTAGACCCAACCCACTTCCCCTGGAGATACTTAGCTCTTGCTCATTTTTTCAACAACTCAAGAGAAATCAAATTGCCTTCACCTTCTGAGCAGAGGCTGCTCTCTTCTCCTGCTTGGCTTTCATTTCTGCGAGAAGTCCACTGCCCATCACCTGCACGCCATACCTCCGGCCTCCTTGTGGGCTTCCTTTGCTGTCACCCCTTTCAGCTTTTGTGGCATCGTCCGGCTGTGCCTCCTCCAGTGAGTCTGGTGTCTTTAATTCCTCCGATCGCTCTGCACCACCGTTCTGCTCTGCAGGCTTTACCTCCTTCTTGCTTGCATCCACAGCTGGACTTTTTGCAGCAACCTTGGGCGAGGAGGGCTCCTCTGCCACCATCACAGTCTGGGGACGTTCAGATTTGGAGCCTCTTGATTTGATTAAGTTAAGGAAGCCACTCTTCCTTGAGTCCCTTTTCTTCTTCTCATCACCTGCTTCACTGGGCTCACTGCTGTCTGAACTTTTAGTTGACGGTCTCCTAATAAAAGACACAGACATTTTAAACTCTTCTCCACTCCCCTTCCCCCTCTCCTTTAAATAGTACCTAATGACTTCTCCTGGGCAAAGCCAATCTTTTGTATGATCCATACGCTGCCCTAGGCCCAGTCATTAGCTGGTGTCTCTAAATTAAAAAATGGACAATTAACATTGATCATACCGCCCCGAGGATTCCTTTGCTGGCCTTGTGCATGGTGTAGAGAAGAGAGGCAGCCGTTTCATCTCCACTCTGCCCAAGCTGTCTATGCACATACAATTTCACTCTGCTTTGTTTCCAGAGTGCACTACCTCTGGTTTGTATCTGCCCATTAGTTAAAGGGGAACAACTGATCCAGGCACACAGCTTTTGGGGGATCTTGTCCCTTATGGGCCTTGCTTGAAACAGGAACTAGTTGGCACAGCCACCTTCTCTCCAGTAAGGAGCACAGAGACATCACCTTTATAGTGCAGATGCTCATCCTCAAAAAAACCCAATCTCAAAACACCAACCTCAAAACAACCCACCTGCCAGTAAGACTTTCTACAGGCATCTTACGAGCAGAATAGATTCATTCACACTTGAGCGGAAAGCTGGGCACATAACATCTCTGCATACGACCAGCCCAAGTGGAGAAAGGGCCACCGGTGCAGTGAATGGAGCAACAATCCTTAGCCACGGGCATGGCCAGGGACAGGCACACAAGGATAGTGCAAGTTCATGAGGACATCTGAAATGAGCAGCTGGCAGGCGCTCAAGGGAAGCACAGGAGAAGGCAGTAGTCTGCAAGCACCCTGAACTTAACTGGCTAATCCATTTTTCAAAGCTACCATAATTTTACCCACTACACATAGTACATCACACATGGCTTCACATGTCACTGTAGATATTTATAACCCACAGTGACTTTAAAACATTTGCTTTTCCTGCCACAGCTATCTACCAGTTAACACCTATCATTTTCCTTAATGGATGTCAGCACAGAAGGGGTCATTCCAAGTTGTCTGGAAATCACCCTAGCTAGCTTTCTCACTTATGTAAGTATTGCAGTGTGTGTATATTCTTGCATGAATGCAAGAACATCTAGATGCATGGTTCTGTAAACATACAACCAGCTACAAAGCAATTGTATAAGCTGTATAACCCCTACGGTTGAAGGGGACATATCTTTCAGACTAATGTATTGCCTCAATCTGGAATACTACAAATTGATCAAACACATCTAACATATGTCTAAACCAACATAAATCTACTGTCATCTATCAAAACACTGTGTGCAACAGCAGTCCTTATCAGACAGAGACACTTGTGTGTACTACTAGCACTGGAGAGGAGAGCCTCAACTGCTACACAGCTCTGCTTCAGCTCTAATGAGCTCCACTGAAGGGTAAAATGAAGTCAACTGAATTATAAAAATACACACTAGTCAATAATCCCCTCCATATGGTATATTAAAGCAATTTATTTCAAAGTAGTCATTTTTAAGGGAGGGTAATTGAATTCACAATGTCTTGACTACTAAGGTATTTTCTGATTTTGACAATAGCAACCCTGGATATTGGAAACAGAAGTCAAATACAACTTAGAAGTGCTACTACATCCCAGCTATCAGGATGGATTTTTTTTTTTTTAAATTTAATTTTTAAAAAAATTAAATTTGAACTTACTTTGAATCCATTTTTGTCACTTTCTTAGTGAAAAATTCATCCACGCCTTCATCCACTCTCCCCATGAGGCCATTCTGATCCCCTTCTGGAGGTACTCCAGCAGACACCTGTCAGAAGAAAAAACTCTCTGGTATATAATAACCTAAGCATATTTGTTTCAAGGACAATAATTGAGACTTAAGACATCATAAAAATTGTTTGTGTCAACCAAACGTCAGTGCAGGCAATGGAATTCCCACTGGAATTCCCCCTTTAGTCAGGACGGTTGACGTATTACATCAAACACAAAGTAACCCCAAACACCAGTGACAAATTGGATTCTGCCATGCATGAGGCCAGGAATCAAATGCCTTGGGCTTGTGAGAATAGAGCACTGGTTCAGTCAGAAAAGACAAAAAACAGTTAAGAAAAAATTAAATCCTGATCAGGTGGTGACCTGAAGAGAAAGTATTTTCAACAGCTAGTTGTTTCCCTGTTCAGAGAAAAACATATGTTCTGGACTCTGGGTTTAGAAACAGAGCTCCAGCAGGCTATCAGAGCCTTTTACAATTCATTCAATCCAGTACTTCCAAAAGCAGAGACTCTAAATTCAGAATCAGGTGTTTCACTTTAGGAAGTGAACACAGATTTTCGGTGAGTGTCTGCAAATGGAAAACCTGCTCCCTTTCTTTGGTTTCAATACCCACATTTTGAATGTGGGTGACTCGAGGCATCTAAACCAAGCTGACTTAGTAATACCTGCCAACTACAAAGGCCCTGTGAAGATTAGCTGGTGACTCTGCAGCCTCCTGAGGATGAAACATGCCGTCTCCTGGGAGGATTTCTCATGTGGTCTAGCTCCCGTACGTGGCTTTGATGTGGAAAAGCTCTATTACCAGTAGAGAGACTTCCTTCTGTTTAAATACCGTATGGAGACCTTGTAGGTGACTACAGAGGGACTCCACAAGACCCAACCCAGTCGTATTCTTGGTAGTACTAATGGCCAGGAATCAGTCTGTCACAAAATAGCAGGGTTTGTAATTTGAAACGATTTAAATCAAGGAATCTCCTAGTTGCCACAATAACTCAAAATAATCCCAGCTTCCCTTTTCAGCTGGAATACACACTCTTTTCTATGCCTCTAAAAAGAAAAATAAATACTCTTAGAAGCTGCTGTTAACATCAAACCCAGCCTCATTAAGCAGATTGCACATGAACTAATACTTTGACACGTCCATGAAACTTTTTACTTTCCATGGCTGAACCTTGTTAGAAGCCTAATATTTACTTTGTTATCAAAGATGATATTTCATTGATATCTGCTGTAGCAATGTAATAGTGATCTGAAAAGAGCCCATCTGCTTTGTTGCCTGTCAAACTGCATATTTTCTACAAAACCAGTTTTATTCTAAGCAGTACAATGACTTCCCAAGACTTCCAACTCTGCCACCTCTGGAGTTTTCTGCAGAGAACTTGTTTAGCTGGAACATCTGAACCTAGGCAGCAACCTGGCTTGGTCACACCAGTACCAGTTGTCTCAATGTAAATATTTACCTTCTCAGTCAAAAAACAGTTGACACTGACATCTCAACTGAAAAGTGTCAACCAAAAGTGGCTGGTGTGTTTCAACAGAAATGAGAAACCATTTAATATTGATACCAGAGCCCTCCATAGAAGGAACAAACATGTAAGTATCAAAGGCAAGTACATGTCCTGCAGAGGACGTAATGCAAGAATTCAATAATCTACAGCAGCTGAGAAGATCTACCTCAAAAAAGAAAACAGATTGCATCTGAAAAAGCAGCAAGTTCCTAAAAACATACTAATGACGTACACAAACGCTGAGGACTTCATAAGGTCCTCAAAGCACAGAATTTTCTTATAGATGTTTATTATAATGTCTTTTAGTGATCAACATTAATGTAAAAGACTGAGCTCTGGTTTATTTCATGTTTTACGCTCCTAATGCTAAAAAAAAAAAAAAAGTTAAGTTTTCATTTGTCTTTTTTTTTTTTAAACCTAAGTTTAAAGATGAGCCTTCTATGTTTCTTTATTAAGAAAAAAAAATGGCTTGGAAGCAGAAATAAATAAGATGAATCACAAGATCTTTCATACATTAGAGATTCACCTCTGCTGTACTAAATCTTCACACATGATGGAAGAACTTATAAGGTTAAGATCTCACAAAAATCTAATGATAAACAACTGTTTCATCATGGGTGGGTGGTGCTGAGGTTTTCTTTTTTTCCCTCTCTTCCCCCCCCCGAACACTCATTTCAGTAAAAACTCTGACAAAACTATAAATCTTTCTTCTGCCCGCACACCCACCCCAAGTTAAAAGTTTACATTTCTCCCCTTTTTTCCAGTCCTTTTCCCCCTTTTTTTCTTACATTTTTTCAGCTTTAAAAGAACAAATCTATTTTCCAGCACACCTAGAGAAGTACAGCCATGATCATCTGAGATCCCTTAAAGGACTAAATGGAAATAATGGGAACAGCAAACAACCCAATAGACCTGCTTTTAAGTGGCAGAAAAGGTCAAGATTTTGCCTCTCACATTTCAAGTGCTTTTCTTAACCACTGCTTTCTGCATTTTCAAAGTGCAAAACCAGCAGCAAATAAATTCTGCAAACAATGCTGCACTCCACTCAAGATTCCGGCCTTCAAAATTTGACTGTTTTGTTTTTGGAAGCATCAAAACAAACATCTTAAGTCTTTCAAAAAACTGTTTAGACTTGTTATAAGGTCAGAACTAGTAAGGAATTAAATGGTCCATAAAAACAAGACAGGGACAAATGAGTTTAAGTAAAAAAGTTCGTTTCAATTTCTGCGCCTAAATAACCCCCTAATTTCCCAATTAATTCAATATGGATGAACACTGCACTATCACAGAAAGTAACACTTCTCCACTACAAGAAGTAAGCTTTTTGTTTCTGTTGAGCAATATATTGTATGTCCTAGTTCCATGCCCAGTACTGGAGCACTTGTGCTTCCATGCCCCCACTCCTTCCCCACCTCTCTGCAGAAGGCACAGGATGTGCTGAGTAAATTTGGAAGGGAGGCAAGTCTAGCAACTGGGAAAATACATGCGTTCTGCAGAACTGGAAGAAGTAAACACAGACGTGTTTTCACTACAATGCAGAGACCAGTCCACCCTTCTGCTACCTCTATCTTTCCCTGTAAAGTGCAAGGGAATGGAAAGTTGGCTTGAATATCCCCTCTGCTTGAAGGTTGCTCCATTTACAAGTGGTGCAAAAAGCACCCTACTGCCTGATACGATCTTTCCTGGCATTAGGGAAATTTTCAAGGGTCCTCTCCGGTGACAACCCTCAGGGAGCAGAAGAGGCCACAGACATTCATTACTAGGCAGCATAACTCAGCGAAGCAATGGCTACCCCTTGATAAGGGTTACTTATCATATCAGCTATGCTCTGTTGCCGTGAGATAGCTCTGTAACTCCTCCAGATCTGTCCTTACATACCCTGAGGACATACCATCACAGCAATAAATCTTCATTGATGTGGTATGCCAAGGAAATGGAACTGTGGGAACCCCACACACATATACTCGGGTTCACACCAATGCCTTTCGTAGACAGACAGTGCTCTTCTGTTTTGCTTTTCCAAGGCAGGCTCCAGCATGAAAAGCAGATCTGTGACTATGCAGATTTGCTGGCCCAAACACCATCTTTAGTTAAGGAGCTGTGGGAAGCTGGGTGTCACAGAGTAGCTCCTCTGAGAGCTGATAGAAATAAGAATTCATGCCAAGTTACCACGTCTTAATGCAGGCAGAAAAAAGGATTAAGACTTAACAAACCCTTGCAATATAATTGAAAAGTCTCATGATATTTTGTGCGTTTCCTGTGAAAGCTCCAAGTATCTCCAGAAACTGTTTCCATGAAAAAACAAAAGCAAATTAAAAAAGGATAAAACATATGCTGGGTTTAGGCTGTGTCAGACAAGACAAAAAGCTTGTAACAGGGATTGCACACCAAAAGACATGAATACCAGAAGAACGATGAAGTAGTTGCTTACGGCTTTTAAACTTCAACAGTTGCCCTCATTACATTGCAATACCTGACTCATGGCAAAAAGCAATCAAGAGATGACACTGTCAGTAATATTTTAATGTACACTCACTGCTGCTTGGCTGGGCTGCTGCTTTTTATTCCTTTTGGGCCTTAATTTTGTAAAGTGTTCCAGTTTTCTCCCTTCTTCTGATGGCAGCTCTGAAATGAATCCAGAAGTTCGTTTGTCCAGCCTGCTGGAAGGAAATGGTGGGTCTTCTATATGGATAGGTACTTCTTCCAGTGCTTTATCTAGATCAAATTCCATTTCTAAGAGAAATCAAAACTTTCTAATTAGACTTCACATGCTCTTTAAAACAAAAACCAATGCCATTCCTCCCTTTTGTGGTAAATAATTACAAACGTATTTAGAGAACTCAGCCACACTGTGTTTATCAGCAGACAGAGCACCGTGAGCAAAGATTTACTACCAAACGCACTAGGAGTCACAAACCAAAGCAACCAGTGGGGGCCTCAAATGCTATCCAGAGGGAAGGAGAGTCACTGGTGCTTTTCAGTTGAGAATTACCTAGAAGAATCTCAGGCAAGCAAAGCAGCAAAAAAGGTGTTAAGAAATTCTCACTTACCAAAAGCTCTGGACACCGGCCGGAGCATTCTACTGTGGATGCTTTTCCTTTTTGATTTAGGAGTCATCTATCAACATAAAACAAACCAAAAATTACTTTAGCGGACAGAAGTGACAAAGAACACCTTTTCCTTTCTATCCAACAAGTCAGTTCTTCAAGGCTATGTATCATTTCAAGATCTGACTGGGTTTAACACCAGGAGGGAATGAGGATTTTTCCTTCCCCTTCTCAAACATTCAGAACTTTTTCTAAATTGACATTTTGTGCAACTGACTTTGAACAGAACCAGGGAGGTAGTTCATGCTTCCCATTAAAACCTTAGGCTATACACAGGATGATTATTTGAATTGTCCAAGCATTAAACTCATTGATCCCAAACTGTAACGCAAGGGAACTATTAAAACCTCATTTCTGCATTTGAGATCATGAGGCTCAGAAAACTTAATTACTGCGTCCAGTACTGCACAGTTAATGACAATACCGGGGATGGTCTCCCCCGTGTTCTGGCTTTTATTTTTGATACAAAATATACTTCCTCAGTTTATTCGTTAGTGACACACTACTGGAAATGATTAAAATTCAGTTATCTATGCCTCTGGACACCACCACACAGCTCACCAAACCTCCCTAGGAAAACGCAGTCTTGGAGCACACAGCCCTCTTCAAAAAAGAAAAAATATTGTGTCAGTGTTAGCAGTATCTCCAGCAAACACATGACTTCCCTGGACTTTAGACATGCTGAGAATAGGTGGAAAGTTACCTTGGCGTACATTCAACATAGTTACTGAAAGTTATGCGCTATTATTCTTCTCATCTTCATGTTCCCAGAAAAAATGAGTATGTTGCCTTAAGAGCACAAATACCCAGACTTAGGACCTGAGTTTGTTATTTTTGGAAGAAATTTGCCTTTATTTTCTTGCCTGAACTCTTCTGAAAGTTTGCATGGAAAGACAGACAGTTTTGGTAAAGGAAATGCGTGCGTCACCAATTCCGAGCCTCTTAACATAGCCGAGCATTGTAAGGCTTTTAAACACAAGTTGACCTACAGGTTTTTTAAAGAGTTAATTTAAAATGACTCAGCTTCTGCAAAGATGGGTTTCTTTTGTGGTAGAGTCATACAGGCTGGCTTTAGTGACATCCATATACTTCCATTTACTTGCTAGTCTTGAAGCCTAGTGGCTTCAAATCTGGAGTGTCAGTCAGGAAGCTGTTATAGCTCACAACTCATTAACAGAATTGTTCATCAAGTTTAGTAGTATCAGTTTTATATCAGCCAGAAAAGACATAGTTGGCATTGACATTTCAAACAAATCATGAATTGTTTAAGGTAAACATTTGCTAGTTTTTATATATGGAAAGTTCAGTGCACAGACTTACATGTACTGAATTCATATTCCCATCCAAATTAAGTCAGGAGGATTATTATGCCACTATTCAGATGCTCAGGGTTATGACAGATTTTCGTAACAGTAAAGTTATCATCCATCTTCTTAAGATCAGAAAAGGACTTGCAGATTACAGAGTGGGCAGTGATAGCACTGTCTGGGCAATAGGGCTCTAGTTTTATTGCCATGTACGTTACTGGATGAAAAAAGATGCCTTCAGCTGTTTGCAGGTTTCCACTTCCACATTTGACAAGCATCAGTAAATCATACAATAGTTTCAAGACCAGCCAGGAAACAGTTTGCCACCTGAACAGACTTACCCTGAAACTAATAAGCAAGCAATTTGTTTACTGCATCAAAAGGTCACACATTACTTTCAGAGTTACCAATAAATTCAGTGCAATGGATTCGATGGCAAGTGGTTGGAGAGGTGCTGAACTTTTTCAGCCCAAATTGCAGTGGATTATGTGATGGGTAGGCAGCTGGGCAGCCTCTGAACTGTACACCTTGACCACTACCAATCCATCACCCAAACCTGAAACAACCAAAGGCATCTGCACCTCATGTAAGGAAGAGCTGAAGCAGCTCAGCATTAGGGGACAGCAATTATGAGTCACTATCACCAGTCCCCCTGGTTTTATTTCCAGCTGTAGCCTGTTTCTCTTGTTAACGTATATTTGCATGCATTTTGGTCTGCTTGCCACTTTTTTTTCGTGGTGTGACTGGAAATTACATCTAGTAGGATAACGCAGCAAGTCATGTGCTAAAGAAGATCAGAAAGGGCGACAGAAAACAAGGCTGATGGGAGACGTCCCATCGCTCGGTAACTTCACGTCCAGTGCTCAGAGTGCTCCTGGATGAACACAGACAAGCTGAGAGCTGCATCAGCCCAGGGCACTGATGCCAAAGAGCACGGTGCAAGTTTTGAGGTTCCTGGGCAGGGACTTAAGTGTTCCAAAACATCCCTGACAGCCAGGAACAGAATGATTTCACCTTCCTTCCCAGACCAGAAAATGCCCCCAGATGACCCTGCCGAGCTTGTGCTGATGACCATAAGCCAGCCTCTGTACCACTGCTATAACTAACCATCAGCTTGGCATGATCCATCGGCAGCTTGGTTGCTGGGGATAAAGGCAGAGGGATAGAGATGCTTCCCATTTGCTTTAACAGCATGAATAACAGCTATACATACACTTTTATTTGAAAACCTTCTGTTTTCTAGCCTGTTTAGGAAGTGCACAGATGAAAGGCTTCTTGCCAAGTGAACTTTCTAGATCACACGCAGAGCAAAATGGGTCAAAGCATTAATTTAAATAGGCCAGTGTGCTCTTTTTACAAAATACTAGACTTAATCTCAGCTTAGTATCTCACACACTGTGCAGTATGCTACAGCAGCAGAGCACATGTCATTACCAGAGGAGATATCTGAACTCCTAGAGAAAGATCTCTGCCTCTCCCCAGCCTGAGCCCCGTTTCCCATAGTTCATGGAAGCAGTTTGGGTTTGGCAGATGTGCACTTTCTGCCTTCCCACCATCTCTGGCCATGCAAGCACAACGTGGCTCTCCTGCCACGCTTCACTCATGGCCTTTACAGGGAAATAGCTGTTATTATCAAGCTCCCCTCCTTCACTTCGTCCACATCTTCCAGGGACTTTCCATTCTAGCAGACCACCTCCTGAACTTCTTCCTTGTTTTGCCTACTTTTCTGTGAGCACACTGTAGAACAGATAAAAAGATTAACAGCATCTCTGGGTCTTGGGAGGCCTTCTTAGAAGTCTGTGTGCACCTATGCCACTGAGATCTCTGGAGATAGCTCCACGAAGGTACCCCTCTGGCCTAGATGGGAGCTAGCAAATCTCCATCATGCTCCCAAATATTTAGACGCTCTCATGTGTCCAAGCTAACTTTAAACTCCCAGGATCTCTTACCATGATCACTTTTCCAGATTCCTCCCTTCCTCACAAAACTATCTGAGCTCTCTTGAGTTTTCTTAAATTATATTACTGACTGTGGAAGAACACTAGTATCTTGGGAATTCAAAACAACAAATAAACCACTTTGTTTCGAGGCTAGAAAACAATGTGCCTTTAGCGACAGGGTCTCAGCTAGTCTACATTCCTTGATTATACAGATAATTGAAATCACGCTCAGTGCTGAGGGATATGCTCATTTCCATGCTTTTCTCCTCCTCCTCCAAAGTAATTTATATTCAATCCTATTAGATACAGGGATGCTCTGTGACCCTTCTGTCACTTCCCTTTCAAAAGATTTCCAACAAACTTATGAACGACTTCCCCCTCCATCTTGAAATTGAGCTCCCCGATCAGTCTCCCTTCAACTCGCCTTCCTGCAAAATGACGTAAGGGGTTTTCAGCTTTGAGAACGCATTAAGGGCGACAGCACAAAAAGGTAAGAAGAGCAGCAGTCAAAAGCTCAAGGTGATTCAACCAGACAAAGAAAACACAACTGACTGAACTGAGTTAACCCCTGACATCTCTTCCAACCTAGTGGCAAGAAAGCCCTAGTTTATATCCATTCTTAAGCTATTCTTTTCATTAAGCTGGATGATGCTTGAATATAAAACCAAATCAAGAGGTTTTCTTTCTGAGCAGTAACATTTGTGCTTACACTTCTGACATCGGCACTCTGTTTTGGTTTGGTCTTGAAGCCAAGGGATGCTTTAAATTCAGATGCTACGCTAGCTGAACCTTCTTGTAAAA